TATCTGGAGTTGTCCCCCCTCCTCCCCCCCCTCCTCCAGGCTTTGGCCCCCTACCTCCACCCCCTCCAGGGGGCTTCAGCCTCATCCAGAAGGTGGAAAAGCCCCCCCGGAAGCCTTCCATTGAGCCAGCCTGTCCCATGAAGCCTCTGTACTGGACAAGGATACAGATACAGGACAATAAGTATGTACAACACTGCTTAAAGCTTACTCTATAAGGCTCGTTTCTGTTGATTAGAACTTAAATCTTATTCTCATAGATTTGTGCAAACACTGCTAAGAAGTCACATAACCATCATGCAGGCTTTAAACAAACCAGCCCTGCTTGGAGAGTGAAATTATTCCCCAAACTGTTATAAACATCTATCACAGATTTACTGAATGATTTCCCAGTTCAACTTTGACCTGCCTCACATGTGGTAATCATGTTTCTCTACATTGAGGGGTTATAAGACATTTTGGGGGATTCTACCTCCAAATAAGGTGGTCACAAAAAGGTGGCCAAACTGTTGGCTTGTTTATAGCCTCTCTGATTGTATGACTGATTACGTTTCTTGACGTGTCAAACTCTGTTGTGCAGATGTTTCTATGTTACCAGAGATGTCAGTTAATTTTTGGTGAATGCAATGTTATTATAGCTGATTGAAATGATTGCCAAAACCATAAAAATAAAACACAAGATGTTATAAGCTATCCTTCAGGATATGCTGATATTTCAGCTGAAGATATTCTGCTCAGTATGTACTTTGGTCAGAAAAATCTAAGGCTTTGTATCAAGATTGTTTAATTACTATTGGCTAATACAGTATTACCTTGTTTTTAAATTCAAATATTGGTACCTGTATCAGCCTCAACAATCCAGTATTGGTTAGGCTGTATTAAGGATAAATACCAGGAAATCTGAGACGATGCACATGGTATATGATTTATTTTAATTTGATTGGGTGACTAACATTTCATTGATTTTCATTAGTGGTTGTTTGGGGGATTATGGCAGAATGTCATCACACTGAGGGGGCAACACAAAGATCTCTAAAATCTGAAGTGAAGATACTGTTATATCAGGGCTTATAAAGGCTCTGTTGAGATACTCTGTAACTGTAAATGGATTATCCAGCCCATTTACAGTGGCTGTGGTTGTTTGCCTCTGAGTGCCAGCCTTCCAGCTTTATGGCCTTGTATTTCCATGGCTGGATTAGTGTAAGGAAGGAAGTTCGATTCACACTCTCTCTTCGACACTGGAGAACTGACTGATACACTACATCAATTTCAAGTCATCTATAAATTTAACTGTAAAGGGCCAAGTTACGGGGCATAAAATAGGTCAGATGTTTAACTATAGCTGGATCAGCTGTGTGATCTCTATTAATGCTGTGAGATTCTGAGTTATGAGTAAGGGATGAAATGATGCCAAGTGTCTCATTGTAAGCTCACACACAAAGTACATTCAGGACAGACTTTCTTGGGAAGCTACAAAGAAAAGGGAACTGGGCTTTAAAAAGGATTTTGAGTTCAATTATCATAATCCAAAAATGTCTAGCATGGAAATATCTCTTGGAGTTTGGTTGTAATTTTCTTTTCCAAGGTAGTTTCCTTTTACTGTTGGAGGCTGTTCACTGGATTTACTTTGCTCAGTTTCTAGAAGGGAGTGCAAAATCAAAAGAGGATCTTTGTGTTATTGTGTTGTGTCCAGGCTTTTTTTTCTTGTTGTAAATGGGCCTTGACTCTGTGGGCGCTGACCTGAGTAATGTCATTAAATTATGACCCCATGGACAGCTGCAATGTTTACAACAATATGACATGAAAGATAACATGAGAGAGGTAATTAGGCATGTAGTGTGTATTATAGATGTCATCACTCCAAAATCTTTATTTTGAATTAGTTTATTTGTTAGTAAGCGTGTTGATTATGCTGTTTGATTAACCAACAAGGGGGAGGTAAAGTAGTGACGTGTTGAGTTTAAGTGACAGGAAAAGTGTTTGGAACAGCAAAGAGCTGAACATTCTCCCAACTTTAGGCCCCTCTTTGTCATATTTCTGCCCCTGTTTGTTTTGTCTATGTTACTCAGCAACTTCTGAAACACAACACTGCTTCGCATGTTCTTGTCCGTTTGCTGGAAATGATCCTTCATTACAGAAACAAACTTGTCTTAAACCTTTGTTATTTTTATCACCTAGCTCATAAACAGTGCTTTTTAAATCAAGATCGAAGCCATTCTTGCCAAGCTTTTGTCAGACAGTGAAATGGAAAACAGTGGGCAGATTGGATAAACATCGAATAAGCTTCCGCAAATAGAACACAATTTGTTTAGCTCATGTTTCTAGGTTGTCTTGAGAACCACTGGCCTGTGACTGAGTGTTTTGCACCCTGTAGCCTCAGTTTTGATGCACTGATTTATAATAAAATATTAATAATGCTGCTTTTTTCAGCAACAACACACTGTGGGGTTCTCTGGAGGAGCCAAACATCAGCACTGATGAGTTTGAGGAACTTTTCTCCAAGGCCACGCTACAGCCAAAGAAGAAGACCCTGTCTGACACCTTTGAGAAGAAAGCCAAAACTAAAAAGGTAGATTACCTTAGTCTGCTCAGTTTTTTCTTGACATGGAGTGCTGCCTGGAAAGTGTAATTTATTAGTTATTTCTGGCTGATCTATTCTTATCTGGCTTGGTTTGAAAATGGTATTTTGTTTGCTGACATGTTCACTGTAAAGCAAAGAAAGAACTAGAATTACAGCTTTGTGGTTGAATTCCTCCACCAACCGGTCAAATTCACGGGTACGGGACAGAAGTGAGGTCACAGTGACCTTGACCTTAGACCACCAAAATTTAATCAGTTCATCCTTGAGTCCAAGTCGACCCTCCTGCCAAATTTGAAGGAATTCCCTTAAGGCATTCCTTACATAGCATGTTCACAAGAAACTGGTGGACAGACAACCAGGAAACGCAATGCTCCTGGCCTTGGCTGTCACTGCTGCAGAGGCATAAAAACAGAAAGAAACAGAATACACTATGATCAGGTCCTCCTTCAGAGTGTAGCCCCCATTCTCAGGTACTGCACTTGACCAACACAGTTTATGAGTTCACTCCTCATCTGGACAAGCTACTGTATCCTAAACATGCAGCGCTGTGATCGATGTAGGGCTTCAGAATTATGTTGTTTTACCATTGGGGAAGGCTTCAAAGTTTATATTCGAAACTGAACAAGAAAAATCAGCAAAGCTTGCTTTCTGTCAGATTGATCTACCCAACAAAAAGACACACTTGTCTTGTGCAGTGCTGTAACTCTGCACCTCCTGCTGCAGCCAGTGCTGCATCAGCATCCTGGCTGCCTTGTGGTCCTCACTGTGGCGTCTAAACAGTTAGACATCAGTCACTGCCTCACACTGTCCCCTCTAAATCCATACACATTCCCTGTTCTGATCAATCTGTTAAGGCTCCACTCTAGGCCACTGTGTGTGTGTGTGTGTGTGTGTTCATCTGTCCCTGATCCTCCATCCTTAGATCTCTCTGTTCACTCTGGTCACTCTACAGCAGCAAACTGTCCAACATTTGATCCAAGTCAGACAGCCACATCCAGACACAAATCCTGCTAACTGTCTCCTGCCAGGGGCTTATGTCAGCCTGGAAGATGTTTGACCCCAGTAATGGAAACACTGTTGAAACACATTCATATCCATCAAAAACTCCATGAGCAATACAGCACTTGGTCTAAGAGAATGAGCTGTATGGTATGCTGGCTCACGTTGACATCTGTGTTTAGACATTTTTATCCCCAGTACTTGGATTATACACGAGTCTTGCATTTAATATAAAGGTCTGCATCTAGAGCCAGAGAAAGAGGAAAAGTGAATATGTGAAGGCATGATTGTTTTCAACCCTCTAAGAATCCAAATCACTGGAGAGGTAATCAAAATAAAAGAAATTTGTTTACATAATCATTTTTTTTATTCCACAAAGTTTATACTTGGAGTTAAAGGGAGACAAATTTTTGAGAGAGAAATCTCCTGAATCACCAGCTAATTATGGTTTCCAAGAAGTTCAGCTGGTTAGCGGGTGGGAAAGGCAGAGGCAGCGGAGAATCAAGGAACAGAGTTTTTGGGCAGCTGTGGAGGAGTAAGATTAGGGTTGAAGACTAGTTGCTACTGAGTTGAGGTGGTGTGGATCATAGAGGGGGACTGAAATGAGAAGAAAGAGTAATTACAAATATCAAATCAAATCAAATTTTATTTGTATAGCGCCAAATCACAACAAAAATCATCTCAGAACACTAGAAAGTAAGGTCTAGACCTTACTGTTAACACTATTATTACAGAGGGAAAACCCAACAAATCCCTCTTGAGCAAGCACTTGGCGACAGTGGGGAGGAAATACTCCCTTTAACGGAAGAAACCTCTGACAGACCCCGGCTTTTGGTGGGCGGCCTTCTGCCTTGACCGGTTGGGGTGAGTGGATAGAGGAGAGAGAAAGGAAGAAAAGCAACAGGACAGAACAAACAATCAAACACTGGTCAGATTGACGTGGCCGGTGACTGCTCATCAGAAACATAGAGCTCCAGGGCCAGGGATACCTGCAGAAATGTACAGGGAGAGAAAGAGAGGACACACTACGGGAGAGAGGAAACACAAAGTTAGTGATGTGTAATGGTGGCATATAGATGCATAGGGAGAGAGGAGAGGGGAGGGGAGGGGATGAGAGAAACTCGGAGCATCATGGGGCCCCCCAGCAGCCTAGGCCTATAGCAGCATAACTAAGGGAAGACTCAGGGTCACCTGATCCAGCCCTAACTATAAGTTTTATCAAAAAGGAACGTCTTAAGTCTAATCCTAAAGGTAGAGAGGGTGTCTGCCTCCCGAACTGAGACTGGGAGTTGGTTCCATAGGAGAGGAGCTTGATAGCTAAAGGCTCTGCCTCCCATTCTGCTTCTGTGGATTCTAGGAACCACAAGTAAACCTGCACTCTGAGAGCGAAGTGCTCTGTTAGGATGATAAGGCTCTACGAGGTCTTTAAGATACGATGGAGCCTTGTCATTAAGGGCTTTGTATGTTAGGAGAAGGATTTTAAATTCAGGGAACTAATGGGACATCCAATTGGGATATTAAAGAGTTACAGTAGTCCAGCCTGGAAGTAACAAATGCATGGGCCAGTTTTTCAGCATCACTTTGAGACAGGATACTCCTGATTTTCGCAATATTGCAATAACAATAATAATAATAACAACAATATTTTTGTTACTTCCTCAGTATGTTGTGTGTCTCTTCTCTGTGTGGCATGCACACATGAACCTTTTCAGTTCCTCTTGTCAGGAATGTGTGTCTACTTCCTCTTTTCTGTGATTCTGCCTTTTTCACTCCTTTAACTGCAAAATCACTTTTCTCCATTCTTTCAATACAATCTTTTCACATTTTATTCTTATACATTCACTAATGATTATTTCAACAAACACACACAAGTCATCTTATGATTACCCTTACTCATTAAAAGCTTAACTTTCTAAGCATTCTGCCATAGCATTTTAATAATAATTCCTTTGTCTTCTCCAACCTCCCCTGGAACTTCCACTTTCTCCTCTGCCTTCTCTGTATCTTGGTTCTATCTGGGACTCGTATTTACAGCTTCGCTGACACCAATTTTTCAGCATCACTTTGAGACAAATGCTCCTGATTTTTGCAGGTGAAAGAAGGCAGTTCTAGAGACTTGGTTTATTTAATATATTATTTATTATTTAAAGGACATGTCCTGGTCAAAAATGACTCCAAGGTTCCTCACACTAGTACTGGAGATGCGAGTTATGTCATCTAAAGTAACTATATGATTAGACAGCAGATTTCAAAGGTTTTCAAGGCCAAGCACAATGAGTTCATTTTTGGCAGAGTTTACAAGTAAGAAGTTACAGGTCATCAAGGCCTTTATGTCTATAAGATATGCTTGAAGTTTGAACAGCTGATCTGATTCATCTGGGTTTATAGATAAATATAACTGAGTATCATCTTCATAGCAATGGGAATTTATGCTGTCCTTCCTGATAATAT